TATTTGTTTGAATCTTCTTTATTGTCTGTTTATTCAATTTAAGTGCAACTCTGGATACTTGGTGTACAAGTATCAAATTTAAATTGGCACCAGAGCGGGTTTTAGTCTTCATTACGAAAGATCTAAGGACTTGTGTTACTATCAAATCATGAATCAAGAAAGTGGATCGATGTCTAGGCCTCCGCAATTGGATGGTTCGAACTACTCGTATTGGAAGTCTATGATGGCAATTTTTCTAAGATCGCTTGGAAAAGGTGTGTGGAAAAGTGTTGAAAACGACTGGGAGCATCCAGTCACGTCACAAGCACCTGATCAAGGAAAAGAAAAAACAAAAGTCACGGTTCCTAAACCGGACAATTGGACAGATGCTGAGAAACTTCAAGAAGAAGCCAACTATCGTGCCTTGTATGCGATTATGATGGCAGTAGAACAGACAAGACACAAAATGATAGTTCATTGTAAGACTGCGAAAGATGCTTGGAGGGTCTTACAGCGTCAATTTGAAGGTTCAACGGCTGTCAAAGCGTCCATACTTCAACTGGTAACTCTCGAATTTGATGAAATCAGAATGAGGGATGAAGAGACAATTAACATATATTATGCTAGATTTTGTGATCTGGTGAATCAAAGTATGATGCTTGGATAAGAAATTTCTGAGAAGCGTCAAGTTCAAAAGATTATGAGAACGGTTGTTCCCAGGTTCAAAGAGAAAATTACAGCTATTGAGAGTTTTTAGAGAGTTGCGTCTCTTGATGTTGATGAACTTCTTGGAGAGCTCAGGACCTTTGAAATCAACAACAATTATGATAAAGTCAAAAGCAAGGGTCTAGCTCTCAAAGCTGCTGTAGTTGAAGAAATAGAAGAAAGCGATGATGATGCAGGTTCGTTGGTTGACGACAGCAAGCTAAAAGAAGCGCTAGCGCTGATCCCGCGAAATTATGGAAAGATGAGTCAGAGGCTGTACAAGAATAAATTTGCTGGAAAAAAGGGCAACAACTTCAGCAAGAATGTGGTTCATGACAAGAAAAATAGTATGCCACTCTCAAAACTGACTCACAACGAGTTGAGAAGGATCAATGCAGGGAGTGTCGAGGTTTTGGACACTTTCATTATGAGTGTGCTAACCTTAAGAAGAGAAACAAGCCTCTGAAAGCAACCTGGGAAGATTCAGATGATGAGGGCGGTGACGAACCTCCATCGCACACTAGTAATATGGCTATCCACACCTCAGTTACGAAGTTCATGTGTCTCACCATTTCTCATGTTCCGACAAATTTTGAGGAAAGTTTAAAAAAAGCAGATGCATCTGAAGATGAAGCTGATCAAAATGTGTGTGTTGATCCAGTACACTTGCCATGGAAAAGTGTGCTCAAGCATCTGAAGCCCTACAGAAGCTTCAAAATTAAGTATTTAGACTTTCAAGGGTTAACAGGGTGTTGAACGAACAAACATCCGCTTCCACTGCTGCTAAAGATTGTGAACTGGATACTGCAAAGGGTCAAACTAGCATTCTTGAGAGCAGTGTCAAACTTGCTAAGCAAGATGGACTGGAAAAGTCTCAGACCATTGAATGCTTGAGGTCTGAACTATTTTCCAATAAGAAACTACTTGCGGAATGGAACCAAGAGATCTTGAAGCTGAAAAATGAGGTTGATCGGCTCATGAACGAACATGCCAGTATGGAAAGTAAACTAAAAGCCAACTCTGCTGAGCTAAATCATACTGCCGAGGCTGTTCGCAAACTGAATAAGGGAAAAGCTGATCTGAATGAACTTCTTTCCTTGGGTAAACAACATGGTGATCTCACTGGAATAGGGTACACAAGTAGGGAAGACAATCCTGAGTCCTCAACTAGAACTTCAAATACAAAATATACCGGTCTTGGATTTGGGGACAAACCTGGATTTGGTGGTATGAACCTGCATGGGAGACATTCCAGAAATGTGTTTGGCAGGTTTGTAAAAAGCATTGTAAGTAAACCTCTCTCTCATAAATCTCCATTGAAGGTTCATTCACCGATTCAGGAATCCTTTAGAAAAACTCATCATAACTTTCTTCCAATTTGTCATTACTGTGGTATAACTAGTCACATAAGACCCAAATATTATAAAATGCAGCATGACCTTTGTACAGGTAATGTGAGGAGTTGGAATCAGTCTGGCATCCCTTGAATCTTCATGCCAGAACTTTCCAAAATAACCGTACCAAAATTCGTCAAGTGTGGGTTGCTAAGAAATCATTCAAGTGTTATGCTTCTGTTCTTTCTCTCAGGACTTCTCTGAAAGGTAAATGGTATCTGGATAGTAGATGCTCTAGACACATGACTGGGGAACCTTCGTACCTAATAAATATTCAGGCAGGTTCAAGTGGAGAAGTCACTTTTGGTGACGGTGTGAGCAATAAGGTCATTGGAACAGGTGGTTTAAATTTGGGTGGGTTACCTAAATTAACTGATGTGTTACTTTTTGATGAGTTAAAGGCAAATCTCTTGAGTGTAAGTCAGCTCTGTGACCAAGGCCTTAGTGTCAGTTTCTCATGTGATAAGTGCTACGTGAAAAACAGTGAAGGTTCTTGTGTACTTACAGGGTCTCGTTCAACTGATAACTGTTATCTTGTTGATTTTAATGAAAAATGCATTTTCTAAAATGTGGGTGAACCTGAAATCTGGCATCAACACTTGGGTCATATTGGATACTCTCATCTTGTCAAATTGACCAATGTAGGTGTAATCAGGGGCGTTCCAAAGATTTCCATGAAGGACCAGCCAATTTGCGAACCTTGTCAACTAGGTAAGCAAACTCGGGCATCCCACAAGTCACTGAACCACATTACCTCTAAACAGATCCTAGAAATTCTTCACAAGGATCTTATGGGTCCCGTTCAGGTAGAGAGCTATTAAGGTAAAAAAATATATTTTTGTGTGCGTTGATGATTTCTCTCGATATACTTGGGTTGATATCTTGCGTGAAAAGTCTGACACATTCTCTGCCTTTAATTCACTTTGTTTGAAGGTTCAAACTGAGAAAGGCTTTCCCATAATAAGTATTCGAAGTGATCATGGAAGAGAATTTGAAAATTCGGAGTTTGCGGAATTTTGTGATTCTATGGGTATTTGTCACCAGTTCTCAGTTCCTAAAACTCCACAGCAAAATGGAGTTGTTGAAAGAAAGAATCGTACTCTACAAGAAATGGCCAGAGTCATGTTAAACTCCCAAAAAAATTCTTCTAGATGGTGGGCTGAGGCAGTCAATACAGCATGCTACCTCGTGAATCGAGTGTACCTTCGTCGAGGTATTGGTCTGACGTCGTATGAACTCAGGAAAGGTAAGAGTCCTAACCTCAATCACTTGCATATTTTTGGGTGTAAATGTTTTATCTATAATGATCGTGTACAACTTGGGAAGTTCGATGCAAAATCGGATATTGGATTCTTTCTTGGTTACTCTAACAATAGTCGAGCGTATCGTGTTTACAACACAAGTACCTCCACTGTAATTGAGTTCATGAACATAATCTTTGATGAAAAAAATTCCCAAGTTGGTTCATCTGTGTCTTTTAATCAGTTTGAAAACATTGAGACATTGCAGGATACTCATGATGTTAAGAGTTCTGCTGACAAGGAGACGGCTAAACCTTCGGTTGGGGATGCTGAAACGTCAACTGACTACATTGTCCCTGCTACTCAAGAAGGTTCAGTGCCACCTAGGCGTGATCCTCCCTTAAGGGTTCAGAAAGATCATCCATCCGAGCAAGTCATTGGTGACATCAATGAGAGAGTAACCAGAAACTTGAAGACGTCAGTCAAAGAACTTATGGGTGTTTCTCATTATGCCTGCTACACCTTATTGATTGAACCCAAGAATGCTAAAGAAGCTCTGAAAGATGAGTGTTGGATCTTAGCCATGCAGGAGGAACTGGAGCAATTCACTAGAAACGATGTTTGGGAGTTAGTCCCTGAACCTTCATCGGGAAATGTTATCAGAACAAAGTGGATCTTCAAGAAAAAAACTAATGAGTTCGGGAATGTGACACGTAACAAGGCGAGACTAGTTGCTCAAGGCTACACTCAGACTCAAAGGATTAATTTCGATGAAACCTTTGCCCCTATTGTTAGACTTGAATCTGTACGCATATTTCTATCTATTGCTTGTCTAATGAAGTTCAATGTTTACCAGATGGACGTGAAGTCTGCCTTTCTGATGGGATATTACATGAAGAGGCATACGTTAAGCAGCCAGAAGGATTCAAAGGTCCCAAGAATCCGAATCATGTCTACAGACTTAAGAAAGAATTGTGCGGATTGAAGCAAGCGCCACGCGCGTGGAATGAACGCCTTACCATGTACCTTCTGGAAAAGAGATTCAAGAGAGGAGGAGTAGATCAGGCATTCTTTGCTCTTCGAACGAATAAGGACCTATTGGCTGTTCAAATCTACGTCGACGACATCATCTTTGGATCAACATCCAAGAAGTTGGTCAATCACTTTAATAAACTTTTGTCGTCTGAATTCGAGATGAGTCTCGTAGGTGAACTTTCATACTTCCTTGGACTTCAGGTAAAGCATGGTAAAGACGGTATTTTCTTGCATCAGGGTAAATATGCAAAAAACCATGTTAAAAAGTTTGGTCTTGAAAATGCTAAATTTCCTCAAACTCCCATGGGCACTCATGTAAAAGTGTCCAAATATGATGAAGGTACATCTGTTGATCAAACTCTATACAGAAGTATTATTGATAGTCTTCTATACCTCACTGCTAGTAGACCTGACATTTGCTTTAGTGTTGGATTGTGTGCGAGGTATCAGGCTGCCCCCAAGGAATTGCATATGAAGGCAGTCAAGCATATCATTAAGTACATTGGAGGTACATCAGAGTATGGTCTATTTTACTCTGCTGATACGAACTTATATCTTGCAGGTTATTGTGACGCTGACTGGGCTGAAAATCTTGATGATCGAAAAAATACCCGAAGAGTTCATATTTGATGCAGAAAGCGGTCTCATGGATGAGAAGCTCCTCTTCTTTGCACAACAGGCACAACGCCGGCGTGGGAAAGCTGGGAGGGCCAAGAATGTGATATTTTCCGAGGATAGAGGCCGCTATATCAAGCCTATGCTTCCCAAGGTTGGATTCCTTCTGGGTTTCTATCTTCTCTCAGCTTACTCATGCTGTTTTTGCACTTTCGGTGTCTGAAGAATGGTGGAAAGCTACGGATATTAATCACCTGAACAGAAATTGTCCACTAGCGTTCCTTTCTTATTTCACGAGATAGTTACGAAATTTATCCCTGAGATTTGGAGAAAGTTCAAAAAGGACCCACAAGAGTTTCAATGTTTCTTTCTTTTTTTTTTAGAAACCCGTAAAATTTAATTGTTGCTTGAATTTGAGGGGTTATGCAGACATACATACCTCATGGCATCTTTTGTACTTTTGAAACTTTTCTTTGTCTGTTTTTTTTAATAAACCAAATTGTGGGGTGGTTTTGAAATGTTTTTTGTTGCTTGTGAAGGGGTGGTTTCTGTGTTTGAATTTGTTCATTTGGATATATCACAAGCAGGGTCCTGTAAAGAGGTTGGCCATTGACGCTACCCTTAGAGCAGCCGCACCATATCAGAAGTTGCGCCGAGAAAAAGATACTCAAAAGACCAGAAAAGTCTTTGTGGAAAAGACGGACATGCGAGCTAAAAGAATGGCTCGAAAAGCAGGAGCCCTGGTAGGAATTGTTATCAAATATTTAAATTAATCTGTGGTATTTAGATTTCATGTTTTCCACTCTCAACCCTAACATGGAACTCTTTCCGTATTATTTTTATAATCTCACTTAATGTTAGCACTCGAGCCTATTATGAGAAGTTAAAGTTTAATGACATTTTTAACTGTCAGATTTGTTATGGACTATATTTACCTGTTCAATAAACGACAGGTTATATTTGTCGTTGATGCAAGTGGAAGTATGGCACTGAACAGAATGCAAAATGCAAAGGGAGCAGCTCTAAAATTACTCGCCGACAGTTATACCAGCAGAGATCAGGTCTGTTGTAGATGAATTATTGTAATTGTTAATTTCATTAATTTTACTACTAGACAAATTGATGAACATAAGGTTTAATGATTATTCTCATGCAGCAAAAAGGAAATAAAAATTATTTACTTTTCATTTATGGATTTTGAGTAGGTATGCATCATACCCTTCCGTGGGGATGCAGCAGAGGTTCTCTTGCCTCCATCAAGGTCGATTTCCATGGCAAGAAAACGTCTCGAGAGGCTTCCATGTGGTGGTGGTTCTCCTCTTGCTCATGGCCTTACCACGGTATGCTATCTGTCGCCTTTTTTTTTTCTTTTTCCTTTTTGAATATCTCTGTAATTATTTTGATCACCTACTTTATTTTTGGCTATTTCAAGTACAAAAATCCATTACCTACATCTTATCAATGTTATCATGTGATCTTATCCAAATACTTCACCAACTATTTTAAAATTTACTGCAACATTTTATAACCAGTGAGAATATCTTATATGTAAAAGCTAGCAAGTTATTTTAAATTCTCCTTCTTTGCAGAGATCGCAAATTGTTCCTTATGGATTTCATTTTCCTCAATTATCCTAACTACAGATATTTATTGGTCCTTTGGCGTTTATCATCTCGTAAAGTACTTCTCATTGGCATCAAATATGAAAAAAAAAAAAAAAATACTCAATTCTTGAAAATTTTCTCCTCAGGCCGTTCGAGTTGGAATGAATGCCGAGAAAAGTGGTGATGTTGGGCGTATAATGATTGTTGCAATAACTGACGGCAGGGCAAATATATCTCTAAAGAGATCTACAGATCCTGAAGCTGCGGCTTCTGATGCCCCTAAACCTTCTGCTCAAGAATTGAAGGTTGAACTTATTTTTAAGAGGATCAATAGTAGTTCCCCACTTACCCACTTACCCCTTGTGTGACTCGAATTGAAGGTTAACATATAAAACACTCTCTAAAGTCAATAAAATAAAATACGACAGGGGAAAATATTTGGCCCATATCTTAATAATCGTGCTCTAAAAGTTTGCACGTTCAAATTTGCCTTTAATTGTTTGACCCTGACTTCTAAACGAGATTCCCATACAGATCGCAGTCCTTTAAAGATACTTGTCGCAAAGAATGCAAATAGTATTTGTGTACGCTCAGGATTTATGCGTAATTCTAAAAGCTATGTGGATTTTTTTGTCTTTTTAATGTCATGAACTTAATCTTCATGGGTAGTTTCATAATTATACTTCTATGTTTTCTCTAACAGTAACACTCAATGGTTTGACTTGTTATATTATTTTCAGGATGAAATTCTTGAGGTTGCCGGGAAAATATATAAAGCAGGGATGTCGCTGCTTGTCATTGACACTGAAAATAAGTTCGTCTCAACCGGTTTTGCTAAGGAGATAGCTCGAGTTGCCCAAGGTGTGTCTGTTCGAAGTTTTTTGTGCATTATTCTCTCATATTTATGATTGAAATTTTGGCCATAAAATTTCCTGCCTTCTTTTCAGGGAAATATTATTATCTTCCAAATGCTTCGGATGCTGTAATCTCATCCACGACTCGGGAAGCATTGTCGGATTTGAAGAACTCGTAATTCGGACCAACTGAATATGTTGTTAAACTGTTTATTTACAAGTGAATTCTGCAGCTTGTGCAGCTTTTTCTCCAGTTTTCCCACGTTATTTATGGGGATTGAAATGTAAATTACACCAGGAGAAACCTATAATGTTAAAAAGATTCACGGTGATATTTAAGTGAAACATTTTGTGCATTTGGGTCCTATATCAATGGTGAAGATTCAGGATATGCGTAGGAAATTGTTCTGAAATGAGCTATTTGGAAAAATAGAACCAGCTTTGTAAATAAAATCGAATATAGTGAATTTTGTTCCTATAGCTCTCTTGAACTATTTGGTGGAGACGTGCGCAGCGCAGTTCTTCATAAGACCGTATTGTTACGTAAAAAAGAGGGGAAAACTCAATTTTAGTCCACTAAATATACCTTTTTTTGGTTATAAAATGCGGGGAATATAAAGAACACAATGTATAAAAAACCGGATATCAAATATTACAAGCTTTTCTTTGCTTCAAGTTTCGTATATCAAATGCTGTACATAGCTTGCCTTTTATAGGCAAAATTGGCACATATATCAATACATTTAATATAATAAATGAAAAGATAATCTTTAATAGTGGTAAATCCACTTTTCCTAATACTCCCCCTTGGAGTTACCACTATTTAATGTGCGTTTATGCTGCCTCGCGAAAAATCCTGTGGGAAAAAAACCGAGATAAGGAAAAAAGAGTACAACCGCACATACTCCCCCTCGAGTTATCACCCGTGCAAATCTCGAAGATGTCTCATCCCAATATTGTGTACGTGCTTTCGAAATATTGTCGTCGGAAGCGCCTTCGTAAACAAATCTGCTTCATTATCGCTTGATCGAATGTATTGAACTTTGATTTGTTTGTTTCTTTCAAGTTCTTGCGCATATGAGAAGAATTTTGGCGGGATACGTTTAGTTCTGTCATTCTTGATGTATCCTTCTTTGGTTTGAGCGACACATGCTGCATTGTCCTCGTATATCACCGTCGGGTCATTATTATTCGATAGTCCACTGGCTTGCTGAATATGTTGAGTCATGTTTCTGAGCCAGATACTTTCTCTAGTTGCTTCATGAAGTGCAATGATCTCAGCATGGTTTGAAGATGTCGCAACTAATGTTTATTTCTGGGAACGCCAAGAAAATGCAGTTCCGCCAACCGTAAAAACGTATCCAGTTTGAGATTTTACTTTATGGGGATCTGATAGATATCCTGCATCTGCAAAACCGATTATTTCATGTTTTTTATCGTTAGAGTAAAACAGTCCCAAATCGATTGTCCCTTGGAGATAACGGAATA